CTGTCTCAAAATAAAAAGTTCCAGGAGTTCAGTTCAGTGATAGAGTACCAGAAGGCTAAATCCCCCAGGAAAACACACACGCACACACACAGTTGTGGAATAGTCACTTTAGAAGAATTAACAAAATTGGAAGACTCATGCTCTGGGATTTTGAAACTACTACAAAGTTACAGTATCCAGACAGTGTAGAACTGACTGGGATAAAGACAAACATAGAAGTGGAATAGAGCAGAAATCCCAGGAATAAATCATCACATAAATAGTCAGATGATTTTCAACAAGAGTACCAAGTCCATTCCAGGGGAAAGGACAATCTTTTCGCAATGTGCTAGGAAGACTGGATATCCACATACAAAACAATGAAGCTAGGCTCTTACCTGAAATGATATACAAAAATTAACTCAAAATGATCAAATACCTAAGTTCAATTCTATAGAATTTCTTATATTTTTAGAAGAAAAAATAAAGGGAAAGCTTTGTGACACTGGAGTCATCAACAGTTTCTTAGATATATCATCAACAAGTGAAGAAATAAATGAACTGGCTGTATCAAAATTAAAAACATGTAGGTACAACTACATTATCAAGAGACTCAAAAAACAAACCGCAGAATGGAAAAAATATGTGCCAATCATATATCTAATAACAAAATTAATACACATAAAAATAATTCCTATAAGAAACAACAACACAAAAACAAAACAACCCTACTGAAAATGAACAAAGGACATAAATAGACATTTCTCCAAGGAAGATACACTAATGACCAATGAGTACACAATTGTCAACATATAAGATGATAACATTACTAATTGTTAAGGAAATGTCAATCAAAACCACAATCAGGTATTGTTTCAAACAGATTAGAATGGTTATTATCAAACCAACTGAATATAAGTTCAGGCAGGGACGTAGAGAAAGTGGAAGCTCATGCATTGCTGGTGGGAATGTAAAATGATATGGTTATTATGAAAAAAATATGGCAATACTTTAAAAAAAGATAAACAGGATTAGCATATGATCCAGCAATACCACTTGTAGGTATATATCCAAAAGAACTGAATTCAGGGACTTGAAAATATCATCTGTACAACAATATTTGTAGCAGCATCCACAACAGCCAAAAAGTGTAAATAATCCAAATGAACAAAATGTGGTACACACTGAATATATTAATGAAATACTATTCAGTTTTAAAAGAAATGAAATCCTGATAAATGCTACAGTATGAACATTGAAAACATGCTAAGTAGAATAAGCTAGACAAAAAAAAAAAAAGATCAAATATTGTGATTCCACCTATGTGAGGTACCTAGACTAGTCAAATTCATGGATCCAGAAAGCAGAATGGTTGTTACTAGAGGCAGGGAGAGGGGAAAATGGAAAATTGCTATTTAATGAGTATCAAAATTTCAGTGTGGGATGATGAAAAAGTTCTGGAGATGGGTAATGGTGATGACAGATGATTGCACAACAATGTTCAGAGTATTTACTGCTACCAAAGTGTACACCAAAAAATTCCACCAGAAAACTTCTAGAATTAGTAAATGAATTTAGCAAAGTAGCAGGATACAAAATCAACACCTATAAATCAAAGGCATTTCTATGACAAATCCTCTGAAAAGGAAACAAGGAAAACTACCCCATTTACAATAGCATCAAAAAAATATTTGGGAATCAATCTAACAAAAGATGTGAAAGACCTCTACAATGAAAAATACAGAATGCTAAAGAAAGAATTAAAGAAGACCTTAGAAGATGGAAAGATCTTCCTAGTTCCTGGATAGGCAGAAATAATATTGTCAAAATGACCATACTACCAAAAGCACTGTACAGATTTAATGCAATTCCAATCAAAATCCCAATGACATTTCTCATAGAAATAGAAAAAGAAGTCATGAAATTCATCTGGAAAAATAAGAGACCCAGAATAGCTAAAGCAATCCTTAGCAAGAAGAGTGAAGCAGGTGGCATCACTATACCTCCTTAAACTATACTACAGAGCAATAGTAACAAAAACAGCACGGTATTAGCACCAAAATAGACTTGCAGATCAATGGTACAGAATAGAGGACACAGAGACTAACCCATATAATTACAGTTATCTTATATTTGAAAAAGGTGCCAAAAACGTATATTGTAGAAAAGATAGCCTCTTCAACAAAAGGTGCTGAGAAAACTGGAAATCCATATGCAACAAAATAAAATTAAACCCTTATCTCTCACCATGAACAAAACTCAACTTAAAGTGGAACTAAACCAGAGACACTGCATCTATTAGAAGAAAAGTAGGCCTAAATCCCTATCATGTTGGAGTAGGACCCAACTTCCTTAATAAGACTCCTATAGTGTAAGAATTAAAACCAAGAATCAATAAATTCAAGCTAAAAAGCTTCTTTTCAGCAAAAGAAACAATCAATGAGGTGAATAGAGAGCCTACATCTTGAGAGCAAATTTTGACCACTCATATATCAGATAGAGCACTAATCTTTAGAATATATAAAGAACTCAAAAATCTTAACACCAAAAAACCAAATAACCCAATCAATAAATGGGCCAAGGAACTGAACAGACACTTCTCAGAAGAAGATATACAACCAAACAACAAATATATGAAAAAAATGTTCAACATCTCTAGCAATTAGAGAAATGCAAATCAAAACTACTCTAAGATTTCATCTCACTTTAGTCAGAATGGCAGCTATTAAGAATACAAATAACAATAAGTGTTGGTGAGGATGTGGGGAAAAAGGCACACTCATACCTTGCTGGTGGAACTACAAACTGGTGCAGCTAATCTAGAAAGCAGTATGGAGAATTCTTGGAAAACTGGGAATGGAACCACCATTTGACCCAGCTATTCCACTCCTCAGTCTATTCCCAAAGAACTTAAAAGAAGCATACTACAGGGACACATCCACATCAATGTTCATAGCAGCACAATTCACAATAGCTAAACTGTGGAACCAACCTAAATGCCCTTCCGTAGATGAATGGATAAAGAAAATGTGGATGGAGCTGGAGAATATAATGCTAAGTGAAGTAAGTCAATCCCCCCAAAACAAATGCCAAATGATTCCTCTGATTTAAGGATGCTGATTCATAATATGCTATAGGTGGGGGGTGGGGAATGGGAGGATTAAATAAATTCTATTAGACAGGGCAAAGGGGAAAAGGGGAAGGAGGAGAAGGGAAAGAGAATAGGAAAGATGGTAGAATGCGATGGTCATCATTATCCTAAGTACATGTATGAAGACACAAAGGATGTGACTCTACTTTGTGCACAACCACAGATATGAAAAATTGTACTCTATATGTGTAATAGGAGTTGTAATGCATTCTGTTGTCATATAACAAATTAAAAATTTTAAAAAATGGTTAAAATAGTAAATTTTATGTTATGTATATTCTATCAAAAAATTAAAAGCTTTAAAATAGTGATATATATAAATGACTTTTATATTAGATGGGAAAGATAGGTTTCAAAATTGTGTACACGGTAAGATTCCTTTTTTGTTTAAAAATAAACAAACATCTTCCCTACATGAGCTCAAGAAAGGCTCTCATTTTCTCTTGGGGGCAAGAACTGTGATCCCTATCTGTGAGAGAGGCTGAAACAGTATTTAACTTTGACTCAGCACTCAAAGAATACAAGGGAAGGGCTGGTTGAGAATCGGTAATGACTAAACCAACTATATATAGTATTTCTAATACCAGAGATGGAGGTCTTGAAATCTTGCTCTATTCCTCTCCCTTTTGACGATTTAGAAAGTGAGACCAACCAGGTCTGCTGGGGTACAAAGCATGCAAACTCTTATGCTTTTCTCAAGACTTATACTACTACTAAGTGACAAACCAGAGAGCATTATTCAATTCAACTCTGTTTGGAATGAAAATCCCATTTAAGGGTTTCAGTTTGGGTAACGTTAATCTGCCCACCTACTTGTCCTCTACACTGGGGCAAAACACCTTGGATCAAGAAAGCCTTCAGACAGAGTACTTAACATGTTTGTCCTAAAGAGGTATTATATTAGTGTAGTTGGCTCACAGCAGTCCAGGCACTATCCTCTGAGAACTAAGCTAGACTGACCGTATTTGCATGAGAAAGAATGGTATGAAATATGACATAAAGTAAAAAAAAAAAAAAAAAACAGAAATCCAACATTGACAGAGTAGGAAGAACACTGGGATGGAAGTCAGAAGAGAGAGTGTGGGTTCAGGTTCTATCACTGATCACCCTCGAATTCATTCATGTCATGGCATCTGTGTATCAGGTGGGCCAAGCACTCGAGGAAGGGGGATGGGAGGTGATGATGCTAAGTAAATGATAGTCTCTGTCCTCAAGACAAGGATATTTTACTTGGACAAGCTGTTTATAGTTTTATAGTCTGAGCGTTTTCCACCTGTAACTCAAAAGATATTACTGTTAATAGGACATATGACCGAGAACTCAACTTTGGTGCCGTTCATGTTTTGGGGCTGATAATTCCTTCTTTAGTCCAGGGCTGCCTGTGCATTGTAGAATGTATAGTGTCATTCCTGGCCTCTACCCTTTACATTCTAATAGCACCCCACCTCTTCCAGTTATGACAGCTGAAACTATAGACATTACCAAATGTCCTCTGGGGACTGCCCATTTGAGAACCTTTGAAATAGGGTGACATATATAAAAACATTTTTTAAAAAGCATTAAGCTCTGGATAAATTTAAGTCAGTATTAATGTAAATCCATTTGCAAGATTACTTGTCAAAAAAAACTTTAAAAATTTTGTTTCCTTAGGAATGTTTTATTTGCTATTTTTATATATTTTGCCTACCATTAAAAGTCCTTGAGGGCTTTTTGGTTAATTTTCTTTACCCAAACAAAAGTATCTTCATTACAACATACTTTTCAAATGTATCATTATACTAACATGACAGTCAGAGTCAAATATAATTGCCGTCTCTACAAAGCAAAAATTTTATTTTCTTTATCCCAAATCAAAGTGCTCTGTGCCTACCTTTTAAGGACAAGGGACTGGATCTTGTGAATTCTGTATTTGATGGCCTGTGCTGTTTATGAACTTCCAAGTACTCCTTAACTCTTGAAAGAATGGTTTCTTTTAACAGCAAACAGACTTCCTAAGATAAATAAAAAATTGGATATAATTTTCTAATTTAATGCAATGCGAAAAAGCTAACAATATACACATTAAAATGCTGAACATTTCCTTCTGCTTGCTTTTTAATTTAGCTATGAATATTGAAAGAAATGTTATAGGAGTGGTGGATATTACTGCAGACTTAAACATGTTACCAAAGTTTGTTTAAAACCATAATGCTGGTGTATAATCTCAAAAATTATTTATTTCTCTCTGCTTCAGTTTCACAAATCAAAAAGGAAGACAAAAAGGATTATTACTTCAGTTTAAAAATCAGGGTGATGTGGTGATAAAATTGGTGAGATGAGGTATGCTTTCAAATAAATATCAGTCAGTTATTATGATGAATAGAAGAAACAATGGAGCCAATGCTGCTGTTAGCAAGGGCCCCAGGAACATGCCCACTGTGGCCAGGTAGGAGAGTGTAGACAGGGAAGGAGTCAGGAGTAAGAACATATTTACATATTGTTGGTGCAAAAGTCATAGGGTCCCAGACCACAGCCCAGGCAAGGGGAGGCAGCCACCATGGTTCTACAATACTACAATTATATCTGCAAGCATAGCATTCCCAGATCTTCTAACATGTTTGGGAAGAGCCAGAAACAGTGACTTTTATATAAAAAAGTTTCCTGTTTACAAACTCATTTCAATTTTTTTTAATGTAAACACCTTATTCATTAGGTTCTGGCTTCAAGTTTAGAAATCTACTGAAGAGAGTTAGTTGAGCAGTGGATTAAACAGAACTGGAAATAGTAATTTGATTTTCTTCCATATTCATGCTACTAATATCGCATATACCCATTTGCTTTTGTTAAACTGTACAATATTTATCTATTGATGAAAATAATTTAACTTCTCTTATTTCTATAAAGTAGATTAATATTTAGTAACAATAACAGAGGAATTTAATTAAATTTCAGCACGCCATAAACACAACCCAATTTCTAGCTATTGGTTTGTATATTGGAAGACATTCAGTGTAGTCCTGTACTACTAGGATAATGTAATATAGTGCAGGGAAAGAGAGGAAAACTATGCATAAAAAATGATGCCTTAGTAATGATAAATCCTGGTTCAGTTCACAAAGATGCTACAGCAGGCTCAGAGTTGCAGAGGTTACCTCAAACCTGTTTCACTGGTTTCTTACAATGCCATCTCTGAGAATCTTCATAAATTAAAACATTAACAAATTTTAAGCTGCTCTGAAAAGCAACCACAGCAAAACTTTTCCTTTATTGCAAATGCCTATATCCTTTAGACAGTATATAAAACCCTTGATTTAACTAACAAATAGAAGTTTCTAGATAAAATACAAACACTGGTCTCCTCTCTCCTGCTTTTTATTTAGCAGCCCAAAGATGCAGTGCTTTATGGAATAGAGAGATATCCATTTACAGTTGAGTGTTTTGGCATTGTTCACACAACAGAAAAGCAGCCTTGCCTTGTACTGTTGTTTTAACAATTAAAGAATTTTACTTCACATGCAGGGTTCAACGATGACTGAGCTAGAAAATATGTGAAAGACATACATGGAAACAAGGATTGTTAAAATTTGGCCATAAATACCCTATAAGGCTAGAACTAAAAATAGTATGAAAAAATAGAGCGTAGGCCTATACACATAAAGTTTCTCCTTATAGTTCCAAAGCTGTCCTTTGTGAATCAGGTTTCACAAATGGAAGGACAACCGTGTGCAATGTGGTCACAATACCTAGTTAACTGACCATGCTGCACTTACAGAAGCATTCTCTGCTGAATCAGAACAATGCATGAAAAGAAAAACTGCCAACAATATGACATTTTAGGGGCAGAAGAAAAGACCAAGTTAAAATCAATAAGGAACCAGGAGAAACATAAGGCTTCTCTAGGGGATTTACATTTGCTTCCTCAAGTTTACAAATGGAACCGTTTTAGTTTGACTGTTTGGGTACAAAGACTACTTGTGCTGGACTCAAAATAAATATATGTTTAATACATATAATTAAACTTCTTTTCTTAGACTTTCACTGTAGAAAGTAGCTGTTAAATGCACTCAAACTGTCTGCCCATGAAATCCCAACTGTGAGATAGTCTAATGATAAAAATGATGGAAGCACTAATAGGGCAAAGTCATGATTCTTCAACTAGCTCTTCTCCTTTCTTAAACAAATTATCCAGAAGCAATTTTAATGTTGGTGAACATGTGTTATAAAGGTACAACTTAAAAGTAGCAGCAGTCAGACATGTACTTTGATTTGAGAGAAAAGCTCAGCTTGCTGGCATGATCTCCCTTGCAGCTGCCACTGCAGCATCGCTCTGCAGGTCCTGTTGTGCACTGCACAACTTTGCAAAGTCATGCTTGGCTGCTCTGAACTAGGTACTAGTTGGAGCAATGCACCGGCATGTGGCACCTTGAAGAAACCTCACACTTGGCCTAGGAGGTGACTCACATACCCCTGGCTTTGAAACATTCCATATCAACTATCTCGTGGGCAAAAAATGATTAAGTATCAACATGAAAGGTCTAAGGCCAAAGAGGTAAAGCTGAGAGAGAATGCAGGAAAATCTGGGCCTGGAATAGTGGAATCTAGAACACTACTGATAAGTTAAGCCAGAAGCTTTCCAGTTAAAGTCCCTTTAGGTGAAGTATTAGTCACTTTAGGGAAATGAATTTTTTAACAATTAAAGAATTTTATTTCACATGTTAAATCATGCAGACTGCTAGTAAGCTAAAGTTTGGAATTATGTGAAGGTGGGTGGCAGTAAATGTTGGCCTGCTTGATATTAAGTTTTGAAGAGGACAGTCCATGGTTAATTATCTGAATGATAAATTTCATCCTACTGAACCTTGTACCTTTCTTCTCTCACCTTTAGATCACCATATATTCTTTGGAAATGACAGCAAAGTCCTGATGGTATTATCCTTTGACTGAAAATGTATTATCCTATAAGTTTATAGGAGGGAAAGCTTTAGTGATTTCTAAAAGTTGGCTAAAACAGTTATGAAAGGAAAACTTTTTTAATTTTAAGCAACTATTACCACTTTTTCATATAATATTGCCTTTTAATAAAACTTACTTTTATTTCTAGCTCTAAAAATTGACAAATGAATATCATGGAAAAAAACAAAGTGCAATGGTACTTTGAAAATTACATTAAAGTGACTACCTCTGCTCTTTGGTAAGCAAAGGTCTGGAGAAGTAAGCAAAGTATGTGATAACTAAATGCACTTTCTAACCCTCCACCACAGGAACATGGAAGGGGAGGACCCTACAGTAAGTTAGAACAGAGAGGTAACTTAGGCAGTGTCTGGTCAAACCTCTTCATTTACAGATGAGGAAGCTGAAGCATAAAGAGGTCAAACATCATATAGTGTATTACTGATAACAAACAGGATTAGGATACTGTCCTCTGCTCAGCTGGAAATTTGAATATAACTTCCAACTCACCCAAATTTAATTACTAATAACTTACTAGTGACTGGAAGCTTCACAATGACATAAAACAGTCAACACAAATTTTATACAGTGTATGTATTATATGTGGTGAAAAATTCTGGAAAACCCCAGGAAATGTAGGGACAGGCAATTTATTAGAAAAACAAATTGTTCATGTGGAGATCACCACCTCACACAGTATTCTCAGCAGATATAATACCTGTACTCACTGGAATGGCAGTTATGAGATGCAATAGCACAGAACGCACCACAGTTAACTTTGTACAGTTGTGAATTAAAACTGCACTTTTACAACTGCTTTCATCTCTCTCAACTGCAAATGGTGCCAGGTATGGTCTGTATTTGTGTGTTTGACCTCTGCTAAAACTTAACTTTTTATAATATATTTGTATATATTTTATGGTGGTAAATAATAAAATAGACTATTGTCTTACATTTATTTCATGTGTTCATGACACAACTTTTTCTTAATTTTTTTTCAATATTCCAAGGCTACAGAGTTTGTCTGATAGTTTTTTCAAACTGTCATAAATCTCCAAAAATAAATTCCACATGAAGTAGACCTGTGCAGTTTGAACATGTGTTGTTTCAGGGCCAATTACATGTCCATACTTGACTATTTGCTTTATTGACTGACCAACAGGAGAGAAGGGACAAATATCTCCTCCCTTGTGAAAAGCTCAAGACAATGAAAGGCTGGTAGAAGATAAAAGATGGGGCATAAGATGAGTGTGAAAGACCAGCCTTGAGTTAACCACCATGCCTGTTGCAGGTTCCCAATCATCTGGAATAGTTTCCCCTTCTCCTTTTCCTCTTCTTCCTCCTTTTACCAACTCCATTTCCTCATTCTCTTCCTCCCTTTTCTCCTCTTATTTTTTTTTTTTAAATATAGAGAACTCTTCTCCCCAAAACAAAGAGGTGTACAGTTTTTGGTTTAAATAATAGAATTAAGAATGGGGATACAGCTCATATAGAATGTAAGCACAAGGCCCTGGGTTTGATCTCCAAACTGCAAAAGACAGATTAAAATAATAAGAATACCACATGAAGTGTATGGACTTCTGAAGGTAGGGAAAAGCTAACTATGTATGTTTCTGTTAATGAGGATCCAAGCATTATTTTTTTTAAGTGTTAAGCACTGCTCAACTTTTTTTTTTTCCCTCACAAATGAAAATGAAAGTTGAAGAGAGCTGATATCTCTTCTAGTAGCTGGAGTTACTTAGGAATAATTGCATTTAAATAATAAAAATGTTGCTATACCTCTTTCTTCTGTTCAGAAAACCAGCTGGTATCTTTGTTTGAACCTTGTGGCGATATATGGAGATCCACCAGTACAGCAAAAGTCCCACACTGAAAGACATTAATGGCAAAGTCAACGTCTATGCAGCTCATGCCCAACAATGAAAGAGAATCTCACAAATTCCTATGTGGTTGCTCATTATGAAATGGTAACCAAGTAAACTAATGGACAGAAATCTTAATATGGGACAGGGCTATAGGTCATAACTATTATTTTTTCTTCAGTTTAAAATTTATAGTGGAAATGCTACAAAGAACTACAAGGTTGATCAGAACAGATATGACAAAATACCTATCTTTGGACCACACCCTGAAAGGGGATGCCCAATTTTAGTTGGCAGACTATCAAACATTGAGGAAGTTAAACAGGTTAGTACTAGGTAGGCTTCAGGAAAGAATGATTCTGTGCAAGGCTGGGGAATTCTTCCTTCTACTAGAAAAGAAGAGACATAAAGGATTGGCTGGGACAGACATCTTAGGATAGAAACAGAAAAGTGGAAGAATGAAAAGGAAGGAAAGAAAGTAGGTAGTTGATGTCAATTATCAAAATTAAAGACTGTTTCATTAAAATATGCTATAAACTATGTAAGCCTGGCCTCTAATTCCACTGACTAGTACTATATAGAACTTTTGGGAAAAAAAAATTCTCTATCTGCACTGTTCATCAGCACAGTCAGTAGCCATATGTGGCTAGTGGGCACTCACAATGTGGCTGTTAGGATTGAAAAGCTGAATTTCAACTTAATTAAAATCACCGCATGTGGCTACTGCTTTGTCCTGGATGGCACACCTATAGGTCCCATGAAAAGTTGGAGCCTTTTAAGTCCTTGCCCCTTGTGAGTAATTTCTGAGAGTCACAAGGTAATTGTGAACAAATTAATCTGAAAAGGAATAGACAACCAAGGCCGTAGGCTGGGCATGTCTAAGATACCCAGAGGTTTGGTTTACAAACCACAGGGCAAAGTCATTTTTGCACTTTTCTGGCTAAACAGCTTCCTCCCCTTAATTCTGTACTATAATTCCATGGAATTAGGATCTAAAAAGCACTAAATATTGAAAGAAAAACTGTTAAATTGGACACTGTCAAATTGAAAGCCTGTGCTCGTTAAAAAAAAAAAATTAGTGAAAAT